GCGTGTCTGTGCGTGTCTGTGCGTGTCTGTTCGTGTCTGTGCGTGTCTGTGCGTGTCTGTGCGTGTCTGTGCGTGTCTGTGCGTGTCTGTGCGTGTCTGTGCGTGTCTGTGCGTGTCTGCGCGTGTCTGTGCGTGTCTGTGCGTGTCTGTGCGTGTCTGTGCGTGTCTGTGCGTGTCTGTGCGTGTCTGTGCGTGCGTGCGTGCGTGCGTGCGTGCCTGCCTGCCTGCCTGCCTGCCTGCCTGGCTGTCTGTCTGTCTGTCTGTCTGTGCGTCTGTGCGTCTGTGCGTCTGTGCGTCTGTGCGTCTGTGGTCTGTGGTCTGTGGTCGGTGACTGTGTCTGGGTCTGTGTCTGCATCTGAGTCTGTGTCTGTCAGTGTCTCAGTGTCTGTCTGTGTCTGTCAGTGTCTGTGTGTGTGTGTGTGTCTGTGTGTGTGTATGTATGTCTATGTGTGTGTGTGTGTGTGTGTGTGTGTGTGTGTGTCTGTGTGTGTGTGTGTGTGTCTGTGTGTGTGTGTGTCTGTGTGTGTGTGTGTGTCTGTGTGTGTCTGTGTGTGTCTGTGTGTGTCTGTGTGTCTCTGTGTGTGTGTCTGTGTGTGTGTGTGTGTCTGTGTGTGTGTGTGTGTGTCTGTGTGTGTGTGTGTCTGTGTGTCTCTGGGTGTGTCTGGGTGTGTCTGGGTGTGTCTGGGTGTGTCTGGGTGTGTCTGTGTGTGTCTGTGTGTGTCTGTTTGTGTCTGTGTGTGTCTGTGTGTGTCTGTGTGTGTCTGTGTGTGTCTGTGCGTGTCTGTGTGTGTCTGTGTTCGTCTGTGTGTGTCTGTGTGTGTCTGTGTGTGTCTGTGTGTGTGTCTGTGTGTGTGTGTGTGTCTCTGTGTGTCTGTGTGTGTCCTGTGTGTGTCTGTGTGTGTGTCTCTGTGTGTCTGTGTGTGTCCTGTGTGTGTGTGTGTGTGTGTGGCTCTGTTTTGTTCACTGTGTGTGTCTCGCCGCTGTGTGTGTCTCTGTGTGTTGTCCCTCTGTGTGGTGTGTCTCTGTGTGTGTGTCTGTGTGTGTGTGTGTGTGTCTGTGTGTGTGTGTCTCTGTGTGTGTGTCTCTGTGTGTGTGTGTGTTGTGTCTCTGTGTGTGTGTGTGTGTGTGGTGTGTGTGTGTGTGTGTGTGTGTGTGTCTGTGTGTGTGTCTCTGTGTGTGTGTGTGTGTGTGTCTGTGTGTGTGTGTCTGTGTGTGTGTGTCTGTGTGTGTGTGTGTGTGTGTGTGTCTGTGTGTGTGTCTGTGTGTGTTGTGTGTGTGTGTGTGTGTCTGTGTGTGTGTGTGTGTGTGTGTGTGTGTCTGTGTGTGTGTCTGTGTGTGTGTGTGTGTGTGTGTGTGTCTGTGTGTGTGTGTGTCTGTGTGTGTGTGTGTGTGTGTCTCTGTGTGTGTGTGTGTGTGTGTGTGTGTGTGAACCTCCCTAGCACATGGGAGCAGAGGGTCACTCCTACACGATTGCAGGGGGACACAGCATGTCGCTGGGACTGTGTCCAACGAAGCTACCAGTGACATGGGAGGAGAGGACTGAGCATCCTCTTGTACCTGCAAGCTGGGCCCCCTGAGGCAGCAAGATTAGAAAACGCTGGCCCCCTGAGGCAGCAAGATAAGAAAAAAGCTGGCCCCCTGAGGCAGCAAGATTAGATAACAACATACAACATACTCTCCTCTTCTTGCTCTTGGCCGAATCCAGCTGTGTGATCAGCGTGGGTCGTTGAGACTCCAGAGCAACGGCTTTCCGTCATGGCGCCGTGGTGACCCTCCGGGGAGACCGGTGATGAACCGGGTGTTCAGCCTTCGTTCAGATCGTTCAGATTCTCCCGATGCTACTATATCTCTCTCTCTCTGATGCTCGCATGTGCGTCTGACATGAGTGCAGGTGCAGTAACCGACGTCTAGTGCAGTAACCGGCCGCTAATGCACAGGACTACCTCGCTAGTCTGTCCTCTATTCGACCGCTTCTTTATTTCTCAGGGACTGCAAGGGCATGTGCAACTGACATGAGGGCAGGTGTGGTAACCTTCGTCTAGTGCAAGTGAAGCGGCGCTTCCTCCGGGAAGTAATCGGCCTCTCGCTTTTCTCTCCCCCTAACCCCGCACCTTAAGTTGAGGACCACGCAGGACGTGGTACCTCTCGTTCCATTGCTCCTGGGTGCTTTTCTGCACAGCTGGAGGATGGTCCGCCGCTCCTGGGTGTCTTTGCTACACAGCTGGAGGGTGGAGTTCCCTAATCCTGCTACTGGCCTTGGACCCTGCTCGGGTAGCTGGGCTGTAGTCACTCCGTTCCTGGGTCTTTGATGGCAGCTGGAAGGAGTGTCCTCACCCTAATCTCACCACCCTAATTACAACATACAACCACATGTGCAATACATTGGTCAGAAGCTGCTAGCCCTGGACCCCTTCGAGGGTAGCTGGGTAGCAGTCTTCTCTGTTAACCCTTATTACTGTTGCCTTTGGGGGCCGTCGCGCCCAGCTGAGGAACAGTCCCTGGCTGGATCTGGGCCCTCGCAAGGGCAGCTGATCAGCCGTCCTTCCCCTCTGTCGCTTCTGGGGGCTTGCGTGCCCAGCTGAAGGACAGTCCTGAACCCTAACTTTAACGCCTCACCACAGCTTGGACTACCGCAACATTGCTACATTCTGGACCACATCAACAAGCTTTGCAAACGGGCATTGCAGCCCACAGGGTCTTGTGGTTTAGTTTGGGGTTCGTTTTAGGTCTTGGAGCCCTGGCGCGGTTTTATTCCACTGCACACAGTCGCCCCAAGGTGGGGCTGTGTGTGTGTGAACCTCCCTAGCACATGGGAGCAGAGGGTCACTCCTACACGATTGCAGGGGGACACAGCATGTCGCTGGGACTGTGTCCAACGAAGCTACCAGTGACATGGGAGGAAAGGACTGATCATCCTCTTGTACCTGCAAGCTGGGCCCCCTGAGGCAGCAAGATTAGAAAACGCTGGCCCCCTGAGGCAGCAAGATAAGAAAAAAGCTGGCCCCCTGAGGCAGCAAGATTAGATAACAACATACAACATACTCTCCTCTTCTTGCTCTTGGCCGAATCCAGCTGTGTCTGTGTCTGTGTGTGTGTCTGTGTCTGTGTGTGTGTGTGTGTCTGTGTCTGTGTGTGTCTGTGTGTGTCTGTGTGTGTCTGTGTGTGTCTGTGTGTGTCTGTGTGTGTCCGTGTGCATGTCCGTGTGCGTGCGCGTGCGCGTGTGCGTGCGCGTGTGGGCGTGCGTGTGGGCGGGCGTGGGCGTGTGGGCGTGGGCGTGTGGGCGTGGGCGTGTGGGCGTGGGCGTGTGGGCGTGGGCGTGTGGGCGTGGGCGTGTGGGTGTGGGCGTGTGGGCGTGTGGGCGTGTGGGCGTGTGGGCGTGTGGGCGTGTGGGCGTGTGGGCGTGTGGGCGTGTGTGGGCGTGTGGGCGTGTGGGCGTGTGTGGGCGTGTGGGCGTGTGTGGGCGTGTGGGCGTGTGTGGGCGTGTGGGCGTGTGAGGGCGTGTGGGCGTGTGAGGGCGTGTGGGCGTGTGTGGGCGTGTGGGCGTGTGTGGGCGTGTACGTGGGCGTGTGTGGGCGTGTACGTGGGCGTGTGTGGGCGTGTGTGGGCGTGTGCGTGGGTGTGGGCGTGCGTGCGTGTGTGTGGGCGTGCGTGCGTGTGTGTGGGCGTGCGTGCGTGTGTGTGGGCGTGGGTGTGTGTGGGCGTGGGTGTGTGTGGGCGTGTGTGGGCGTGCGTGGGGGATCCTATCCAACCCTGACCCTGAATCCAGAACACAACAGGCACACCAGTCCCGGAGAAGCAACCCCCTGACGAGAAACCAAGCACGACCACAGCAAGCGACGCTCTCTCCTTTTGAAGGTGGTGGTAAGTACAGCCAGAATCTACACTGACCACATGGCTAAAACAGTTGCTTAGCCAGCGTGGGACATCAGCTTAAGAGCTGACAAACGACGCATCAGCCGCACGCTGACAGAAATGTATCCCTTAAGAGCTGACAAACGACGCATCAGCCGCACGCTGACAGAAATGTATCCCCCATCAGCCTGACGCTGACAAACGGTGACCCCTGCCCAGATTTTTGATCGGGCAAGGGCGGGCGGGAGATCGAAAATCAGGGCGGCTCCCGTGCTGCTCCCGGTCTACACACCGGTACAACCACAATCACTGTGCTTCAGACACACAGCTGCAAGTATGAACATGCCGCACTATCCAGGCACTCCGCACTCCCCAGAGACTCCCTGGCCTAGCCTGCCTCGCAACACACGACAACATCTGCATGCCACCACTTCCGGACACTGCAAAGACATACAAGGACACACCCTAGACAAACCACCCTAGCAAAGATTCTATCGGATCCCTCTTTTCGCCCCTCCGGTTCCCTCCGGTTCGACCCGCCGTGCGTGGGCGTGCGTGGGCGTGCGTGGGCGTGCGTGGGCGTGCGTGGGCGTGCGTGGGCGTGCGTGGGCGTGCGTGGGCGTGCGTGGGCGTGCGTGGGCGTGCGTGGGCGTGCGTGGGCGTGCGTGGGTGCGTGGGCGCGTGGGGTGTGGGTGGGTGTGGGTGTGTGGGCGTGTGTGGGTGGTGTGTGTGTGTGTGTGTGTGTGTGTGTGTGTGTGTGTGTGTGTGTGTGTGTGTGTGTGTGGGGTGTGTGTGTGTGTGTGTGTGTGTGTGGTGTGTGTGTGTGTGTGTGTGTGTGTGTGTGTGTGTGTGTGTGTGTGTGTGTGTGTGTGTGTGTGTGTGTGTGTGTGTGTGTGTGTGTGTGTCCGTCTGTGTGTCCGTCGGTGCATCCGTCTGTACGTTGCTTGCAAGGCATGTGGGGCAGGGAGCAGATCCCCAATCCCTGCTCGCCAGCGCTATGCCAGTTGCGCGAGTTCTGTGCGCGTCGGCATGAAACTTGTCTGTCTGTCTTGCTTGCTCGGGGTTTGTCTGTCTGTCTGCCTGTCTGGGTGGGTTGAAGTCCCGGATCTTTGGACCGTCGTAAAACTCACACGGAGCACTGCCACCCCTCAGCCGTCTCTGTATAGGCCAAGCACGACGGCCAAATCGACTTGGTCGTCCGGCTCGATGAAGCTCCACATGTCCTGAACAGGATTTCTGAAAAAAGGGGCTAGAGTCAAACCATGTTGAACTTACCCAGCGTTGGACTGGAGCTTCCCGTATGGCCATTCAGGCTGAGAGCCACGTCGAAGGATCGATCACTTCCGAACTCGGGGGCGAAAAGCAGAACGCGATGTTCCGGAGGAAAATGAGGGCAGCAATTGAGTTGGCTGATCACCTGCCAGGCTCATGGTGGACCACGTTCAAAGTTTGGCCACTCTTTGGCCGAGACTTCAGCAGCGACTGCACCTGGCAGTCAATGCCGTGCCGCCGAGCTTCCCTAAGAATCAACATCAAGCTTCGTATGATTCTGAGAACATAAGTCGGACTTACAGCTGACTTGCTCTATCATGCTTTGCAGGCCACATTATCCCAAACTGGCGCAAACCTGCTATCAAGACACGTCGGCAAGATATCAGGTCGACTTCCACCAACCCAATCACCTTCCACTTTGATCATTCTCCTCGTAGCATCGCCTAGGATAAAGAGCATAAAGCGTCAGTTCCTCCTTGCACGACCGTGCAGCGAATGCATACATGCAGGCAAAATGCGAAAAGGATACGGGAAAGCCTGCGGAACGTGCGAAGAGGCTGCCATCACGCAACTTTGAGTTTGCAATTTTGCCCGGCAATGCAAACTGCAAACCCCGACTTGACAAAGGATGGGCACGGACACGCTGCTGGACCACCAAGTCTCCGCCACGAGAGCGACACTTGAACACCGGACACCCGGTTTGCCATGCATCGCAGCCCAAAAAACATAGCTCAAGAAGTGGACGGATTTCACATTTAGTTGACTCCGGGCAGGCTGACAAAGACTCCAAGCTGCAAGCTGCAGATCCAACTGCCTGCCCCTCCAACCGCAAGCCCATGTCAGCCTATCAACCTAGCAGGGATATCATAGTGCAGAGACATCGAGAAACGAGAAAGAGAGAGAGAGGGGGGGAGAGAGAGAGAGAGAGAGAAGAGAGAGAGGAGAAAGAAAGACCATCGAGAAAGACCATCGGACGCCGGAAGAAAGCACGGCTTCAAGCTTCCGCAGCCTTCTCCCGATTGGTGGCCCACGGCCTCGAGCGACAGAGCCGATCGAGCGCGTACCTCCAATCTCAACCCGGCTCGTTTCAGCAAAGATTAAACTCAGCTGCCGTGAGCGCGAAGGGCCACCACTCCCGCTCGTTCTCGTCCAGCCAGCGGTCTGCAGTGAATCGCTCTTTGCACCACACCCTGCATCAAGCTTGCTATGTCCAGTTGCCGAAGTGTGGTATCAATTTCCTACGAGTTAGATCCAGATGCAAACCGACTACTGCCAACACTCCATGCTCCCTCGCCTTACTTATGATGCTCGCCGTCATGTCAAATCAGCGCAACCGTATGCAACCGTTCCACACAAGTGGTAGTAGTCAGTAGGAAGTAATCAAGCCCAAGTCCAAGCCTCATGCGGCCGGCTGTCTCTTGAACGAACTTGGTGCGCCTAGTGTCGTCGCATTGCACAATGTATGCCGCATCTGCTTGCGCCCGATTCTGCCAAGGTACTGGATTAGGGCCTTCATGGCTTTGACAACCTCTGGCTCTCCGGAGCCTGGCTTTCAAGTTCCAAAAATGCTGCCTGCTGACATCTGTTGGCTCCACCACATTCCGCATGCCTTCTGCCATCTTTCCAGGTAGGATCGGACACAGCGCCACAGGGCGGCTTGCTCCGGTCCCTTGCCCTACCTCCAATATTTCGCATCCGACTGGAACCAAACAGCCACGGGAAAACATGAACTGTTTCTCAGCTGCGGTGACACCTACACTGCGCCCATGCGATCCTCTCTGGATTTGGGGGCGGCTTGTCGCGCGTACGCACTACCATGCAGGACGTCCTTGAGGTCGTACTTCCAGAAATCGCTCCACCAGGTACTCAAGGAATCCCATCTCCCCCAAGGAGCGCCCAGCTGCCCGAAAAAGATGGCATCGAATACGTACACCTTTCGCAAGGCCACAGAAACAAAGCCAAGGCCATGCTTTAAGGCCGTGGCAAGCAGCAGTCCATCTACGACCAGACCTGATTCGCTGAGCAGCACAGCACCAGGCAGATGCAGTCTCAGAGTCGGACCCCTGTCTCTTAAATGAATTGAGAAAACTCCGGGAGATGGGCGCAGCCAAACTTCTGGACGAAAGTCCTGACCAAGAAAGCCATCAGCCGGCGACTTTCATGACATGTGCCAGCTGCGCCCGCTGCGCCAGCTGCGCCAGCATGCTTCAGACACAGGCCAGGCGTGCTGCGGAAGAAACTCTGGCATGCTCTACACTCTGCATAAAGGCCTTCCAAAGCTTCTCCAACGTTGCAATCTTCACAATCCAGTTCGATGGGTTGTAGGCCGAGAAAGACTCGGGGGAAACAACAAGACTTTACTTCCGGCTTGCGCCCCACGAAAATGGTCAGCGTCTGTCACGAGCAATGAGGTACCGACAGCCAGCTCAAAAGGGATGCTCGGCAGGTACACGAGAAAACACAAAGTAGCGATCAGGACCTCGAACCACCGTCAGGAACTCGTTTCATGAGCAAGTCAGTGCATGTGCGCGAGGGGAGATTGGGTTCTAAGTTCTGGGCACAAACACTTCCGAACGAAATGATCTCTGCCTTGTCCACGGCGTCCTCGACCTGTGCAACAGCAAGGCGATTCTCTACCTGCCGCCGTGTCTGAGTTGCGCCGCACTGTCTGAGAACCCTTCCAAATGATTGGCCACGGACCAGCGCTCTGTCTGATGCAAACCTTTGTCATTTGTGGCTCGGCACCGACAGGTTGATTTTGGCCAGAAGTCGCAAGAACCCAATACCAGGTAGTCAGTGTGTGTGTGTTTCTTGCCTGCACTGGCAACTCCCCAATGCCAGTCACTGTTTGTCTAGCTGCAATCGTGCGAAAATCGCCCCCGGAGCTGAGAGTTTGAAGTTCAAGGAGGCCCAGATTCTCAGATTCTCAGCTGCTGAATCTCTTGGCAACCTCTCCTTTGACCTCTGCCGGAGCTAAAGAGCCGAGAGCGAGAGAGCGAAAGATTCCGCGTCTCCTGTCTGTGCTTCTTCTTCTGTCTTGGCTTCATTTGGACTCCCTGTGCAAAGCACGGAGTAGAAGATGCTCATGACAGGGTTTCTGTGGAACAAGCCTATCGCAATTGAAGCGGTGGCTGGTTCAACTCAAAGTCCAACTTGCGAAAAAGCTTTGCCGGGCGCTATGAGCTTGGCCCGGAGCCACTGCAAAAACGCAACTACGCCTGGCATGGAAGGCCTCGGGGTGATGCCTGCTCCATCAAGTGAGTACCCAACTACAGCCTTAGAGCGTACCGAGCAGAAACTGTTCTGCCAAGCAATGGCCCCTTGTGCGAGTAAATGTTTCAAGAGGTACGTCCATGCACGTACGTCTCGGCTTTTTCTTTCTTTCTGCCGGGCTTAGGGGTCACGCATGACCGTCTCGGCTCTCTCTCTGTCTCTCTCTCTCTCTCTCTCTCTCTCTCTCTCTCTCTCTCACTCTCTCTCACTCTCTCTTGGTACACTTCTCGGCTAAAACAATCAGTGGTTTCAGTCTCACAAGCGTCCTTGGCAACCCATGTTGCCTACTTCCAGTTTCGTGCTGCCTCCAGCCTGTGAAGCATGACATGGCCCCAGCAGCATGACCACTGTAGATACAATTCGGCAAGATTTGCGGGTTGCGGCCAAATTGAGAACAGCCTGCACTAAGTCGCGAGTCGATGACAAGCCCGCAAACCACTAAGCACACAGGCACCAAGTCACATGCCCTGCCATAACCTGAAGACTCAAAGCGTTGGAAGGTGAATGTGACAATCTGTACCTGTACCGGTGGCAAAGCGAAACATTGCACAGCTGACTGACCAAGAAACTCAAGATTCGATTTTGCAAGTCGCCGTTTTGCAGTTTGAAGACACAATGCACGGCTATACGGCCGGCGCACATCAGGAGAGAGATTCTCAGCTGCTTCGCTTCAACATCTACCACAGCGCTATGGCAAGCATCAAAACAGAACCTCTGTTCCACGGTTAGTACCGAGGGTCGACTCAGCATAGGACCCCACAGCTGTACAGCCAGAATTGGTTTTCTGCAGTCTTCGCTTGCAGCATCATGGCCCATTCGGGTCGGGCTTCGGCCATGTGTTGCTTTGGATTTGCCTGGGCGTTTTTGTTCTGCGGGTCTTGGTGCTCAGGCTCGTGAGCTTGCAAGCTCTACAATCTCTACAATGCGACACTTCATCGAATGTTTTGGTGCCCTTTAGGAACGCATCCGGAACAAACAAACAAACAAACATGTTTTGTGGCTCGAGCAGGTCCGGGAGCCCTGCATGGCTCCAGTTCAGCCTGCGATGCGGGCACCTCATGGGGTCATTCAAAATGCACATGTGTGACCGCATGAGTCCGTGTCTTTTCAATTGTGCCCTAAGCGGTGGGCCCACAGTGCTACGCCTGCCATCTGGAATGCTGCCGCCCAGGCCACCTGGGTTCTCAAGCAGACAATGAACTCTCAGCACGGCTGTTTGCTAACACTACACTGGCTGTGCTTTCGCGGGAGTCACTTGGCCCTGCACCCTCCAAAAGTTTATCTGGCCAATGTTATACCTGCAGCACTGAATGCCAGCGCAGCCCAGCAGAATGCCTGCCGTTGCAGCATCATCGAGAGGGATTCAGGCTCGCACGAAGATCGATCCATTAGCCTCTTGGCAAGATCACCTTTCATATTCGGCCAGGTGCAGACGCGGCGTGTCACGGTGGAGCAACTAGGAACCCAGCGCATGTCTCCAGCTAAAGCTCTTAGCCCATCTGCATCCCCCTGGCCGACCAAGAACTGCACAACGACCGGTGTGTTGCATGAACGTGCCCACTCGTCGATGCGTGATGCGGCCTGGTCTATTGACTCCACCTCAGTACTGTGCCGTACAGGTGCAAACACGGGGGCTGACGGCTCAGGACAGCACGGTCTCCATCAAAGGCGTCGCTTCTGCAGACTGACCTAAGCCGCTCCAAGCTTGAAAACTTCGGCGCCGTGTTCGCCGGCACTTTGGGCTGTCCGGGCTTCAGAAGAAATCCACACCAACTTTCGCAGGTAGTTAGGCTGATACTAACCATCGTGGAAGATGCTGGTGTTGCCGACATAGTCTGAAGCCTGAAACTGCCCATGCACTTGTGTGCAGCACACATTATGCATGAGCAGCGCGCCTTTCTTTCGCTGCCTGGCGCGAGTGATACCGCAAGTTCACGGCCTTGGAAATCGAACCACTCCGCATAACCACATGAGGAGGCAGAAGACATGTATCGCGATGCAAGCAGGATAGTCGGTTAGCCGTCCCGCTGGTCCAAACCTTTGACACATCAGAGAGGACAGATCATCACAACGTGCTCATATCAGTGAGCCAATCTTAGTGTGTTGGCCGTTTGAGTGTAGGCGGCAGGGCGACGCTCCCAGAGCCCCAATGAGCCTCAAATCTACTCAGTCCATGTCGGCCACCTTCCTCGTGCAAGCGCAGGCCGTGCTATATGAGAAAAGTGCAAGAAACGCATAATGTGAGGTGACATCTCGAAAGTAGCCAAGAAGGTTCAATAATTCCAATATGAAGGAAAGCAGAATAGCTGCCAAAGTGGGAAAACTACTGTGGTCGACCTTTCGTGTGCACAGCATGTGCACGATGTGATCTTTAGTGTTCAGGTTCACATTTGTGTGCTCTGAGCGAGTTCCGGTAGTTCTCCTCGTTTGCGTGGCCTGGTCGGAATTGTGCAAGTGTACAAGTTCAGTTGTAGCCCCACTGCCGACCTTGTCAGACCTGCCAAGATCGTTCTCCTTAAAAGTGCTCCGCAGTAAAAGTACATTAAGTACTCGCATGACGGTACGCGGACAGATGGAAAACTTTGCAGCTATCGGCGTCGGTATGAATGTCTGCCAGTCTGTCTGTCCATCCGGGTTCTTTTCGCCGGACCCTAGAGCTCAGGGGCAAACCCTTCGCTTGCGCAAACTTGCCTACTCTGCGCCGAGTATCAGTGGCCTCAAACAGCGATGCAGTGGCGATCGCTGTACTGCAACGACTTACGTCACTTATGTCTCAACCGAACGAACAGCAAACTGCAGTCATGGGGCGACGCATGGCCACGCGGGCGTCCGTACGTGTTGTCTTGTTTGTACCCCGCTTTGCAACATCCTTTCTACAAAGCCTTTTCCATGCGACAGTAACCTGAAGTGTCGCGAGCAGTAAACGGCATTAGCTGCAGAATATATCAGAGCCTTTCGACTTATTCAGCATGATACACGGTCATAGCCATCAGCCATCAGTGACAGTAGTTACAGGATGCAAAATGTGCCAGCATGTGATCTTACAAGGCAGTGCCGGTGGATGCCTGGGTACAGCTTTGAGGGTGGGAGTCTCTGTTCAGATGCGCTGCCCTGGCTCTCGTTGGAGATTCCCACGGAGTCATTATGAAACTTGAAAACATGTCATTTCACTACAAGCAGCAAGGATGGTCTCGCATAGCGTATGACCCCACCCTTCAAGGGATGCATAGCTGAGCCTCTGAGTTCAGACATACCCAAGAAAAGCCTAGATTCTTTGAGGACTGCGGCAAGACACAAGATACAGCACGCAAGGCCTTGTCGCCACAGCCAACGGCTGCAACATAGGATGCTGAAGCCCAAGGTCCGAGGAAGTGACCAAATCGTCTGCATGATCTTTCAGCTCAGAGACCTTTCGTGACTCAACAATGCAGCTGACAAGGCAAAAGCCAATGCGCATCAATGTGCTGAATCACTGGTGGAGCTTGGCTTCACCGGCTGTCACTACGGCCGCGCAATGTGAGTTTGGATGCGTGCTGGTTGCCGAGCGCTCTATGCTTGTCCGGGTGCTCAGCTTCCTCTGGTTCGTTCAAGTTCTACGACTACGAGTCTGGACATGACTCCGGCCAAACACAGACCACACCCAAGCCGGCAGCTTGGACAGCGTGCGGCTCGCGGCTAAGAAGCAAAGTTGCCATTAGGCCAACAGCACCTCTTCCTTTGTAAACAGCTAGCTAACTGGGGTCGGCCAGATTGGACCAGCTCACCTCCGCCTCTGAATGCTCTAGACTCTAGTCGGAGTCGTTGCATCTGAGCAGTGGGCTGAACCACTCCACACCCAGGGCTTGCTGATGCCTCAAATCATCCGAATCGTGTTCGCCAGGTTTGCCGGTGGCCAAAGACACATGCCCCAAGTGCGTCCTTGCTTGGGCCGCAACGTAAGAAGACCTCCTTGGTGGGGTGCACCACTCGCTCATATTATATATACAAGTCCACTCCAAGACTCCCGCCATGCCGAAAAAACCTTTGGCGGGAAAATCTTGCACAGCTCGAAGTTTGAAGAGTTCGCCTGAGCTTCAGTTCAGCCCACGAGGAGAAATCGTACAGTGCTGTCATGTGCTTTCTGTATGCAGTAGCTGCATGCGTGTCGCAGGCTGGCTCTGCGTGCGTGCAACGTGATTCAACATTACAGGGCAAGCCAAATTGACTTCCCTTCCGAACTTCTTGACACCCGCATGCGTCAAATCTTTCCGGATGTGTTTACATCCTGGGTCAAGGAGCCACTGCCTCGGGAAAACAGTCTGTACACATGCCGTCCAAGGCAAAGCTTTGCGGCGAAAGATGCCATCTGTACAACTGCCTAGTCGATGACGACCATTGGCAAGTGGAACAGATGACCCGAGCGTCTGTGGCGCTTTCTTACCTGGCAGCGGCCAGAATGCATCCCCGACGGTTGGACTGTTCTGAGTTCCGAAAGGCCGCCCGTGCCCCAGGATTTAAATTATTTAAATTATTTAGATTATTTAATTCCCGGCCCCAATTAAATAATTTAAATAATTTAAATCCGGAGCCCTCCGGGGACGTGAGAGGAGCATGGCTGTGGAACACAAGCGGCCTGCTCGACTTTCTTCTGCATGGAAAGAGACAGCACCATCTCTATGTCGTCCTGAGAGGTTTGACAATGTTGATCTACGTCTCGTCAGATACTGTTCAGGCTTAAGGTAGAACATGGCATCCTCCAACACCTCATCAACTTCTTGGCATTCCTCCTCGCCCTCCTCTCCGGCCTTTTGTGCAGGCGAAGTGGGATTGCAAGAGTTCCTCAAGTTTTCGGGGAGCTTTTCGCGATGCCACGCCTCCTGCTCGACATGTTGGGAGCTGCCAGCTTCAGCTTCTTCGGCCTCTTCTTCGACTTCTTCTGCCACCTCCGAAGAATCATAATTGATGCGCTCCCTCCTTTGATCCCGAGGCAGAGCGCCTCCTCACACCAGGGCTCCTCCGACGCCTCCTCGGTCGCACCGGTTTCGCGCTGCTGGCTCTGAGCCTGCGAAAGCCAAAGGAAGCAAAGCCCTTCGAAAAGGCAAAAGCTCCGTTTCAGGCTATTTATCTCTACTCACTGAGTTCCGGACAGAACCCACGTCCTCCCCCTCCTCGCATTGACCATCGTCGCTTGCCTGTAGTTGACTATTGACTGACCCCGAAAAACCTTTTCGGTGGCAGCAGAGTCGTCGCAGCATTTCTTATAGCAGGCGTGGCAAGCACCTAAAGATCTGAATGCATGATTCGGCCCCCTCAACACTTCAACACGACATCGCGAGGTGAAAGAAGTCGCACAAGCGGGGGCTCAATTACTTGAGGCTCTTAAACCATTGTGTGGGGTGCGCACTGGCGGCTTGGCTTACCTCTTCTCAGTAGAACTAACAGCAGCAGCAGCAGCAGCAGCAGCAGCAGCAGCAGCACAGCCGCAGCACAGCCGCAGCAGCAGTGGGCGCACAAGTAGCGGTGAGCAGTGGTGTAACAGTGGCAATGGTTGTCAGAATGGTAGGGCAGTCGTTCCCCCTCCTCCTCCTCATCCTCCTCCTCGTCAACGTCGTCGTCGTTTTTGTAGTGGTGGTAGTGGTGGCGGCAGTGGCAGTGGCAGTGGCAATGGCAATGGCACTGGTAGACGTAGTGGTAGAGGTAGCTGCAGTTGCATTTGTAGTGATAGCCGTGGCCGCAGCTCTATAGTGCCATTACCATGGCCATAGTCATAACCGTAGTCACTTTCATGACATGGTCACAGTCATAGACATTGCCATAGTCATCATCTTAGTTATGGTCATGCCACCCATAGTATACATTAATTAACCTTTTAAGTCATTATCATAGACATGGTCATGGTCATTTTGGTATAGTCGTAGTCGCAGCCATCGTCTTAATGGTCCTGAGTCAATCGTCATGAGTCATTAATCGTCGTTAGTCCGTCGCCACACCTGCGCCGGCAGCTAGCCTACATCACGGGCAGTATGGCTTTAGCAGTCTCTAAACCCTACTGCACCGGGAGGAGAAGCTGGAAGCGCCTGCTGGCCGCTCGAGCTGGCACCTGCCTTTGCTTGTCGTGGTCGCTTTCCACGCCTCTTGGAATCGGCAGTGTTGCAGCTCCATGCTTGCTGTCAGCATCGCCTCTTGACGCGCTTCTTCTTCTTTTGCTTACATCCTTATGTCAAAAAAGAATCTTGCAGAAAGGCAGAGCGTTCCAGCTTGCTGCCGTGAGTCCAGACTTCCTTCGCCGACGCCGCTTCTTGTCCTTCTGTACTTCCGGAGAGGACGACATTTCCTCCGTGGAGGCAGGAGACTGGGGCTGTTTGGCCCGTGGCGGGTTTCTTTTCTTCTTCGGCTTTCTTCCAGTCGTTGGCTGGATTGTGGCATTTGGCTTGCTTGGTCCAGCCGATGGCGAGGAAGGGGTCTGCCGCGATCTCCGCGTCTCTCTTGATCTCCCCTTCTTCTGCCTGGGCACGATTGGTTTCCATGCTGCATGCTGCCTACAATCCCCTACAGTCACTCGCAGTCCCCAATATCCGGAAACCAGCCGTGCCGAGTAGCGTGGACCTTCTTGGCAAGCTCTCCGAGCTTGGCTCTCGCTGTCTCGGCCGAGGAGAGTGTCGGCCTCAGCAGAAGCAGAGCTCGCACGAGTGCGACGAGCACGAGCTCTGCAAAGCGCGGCAAAGCCCAAGGCCCATGCTGATCGAGCGCTGCACTCGGTCATGGCGCCACATGCTGGGAGACCGCCGTGCACCTTCAGCCCTCGCAAACTTCAGTGGCGGAAGCGGAGGTGGAGGCGCATCCACTGGCCAAGGCTTCGCTTCGGTGGCCCGTTCGTTTGCTACACTCGCTGGCACCAACTTGGCTGCACGAGGGCCTGAGGCTCGTGCGGTGTCGGCGGACTTCTGTTCCTTGGCCCGCTTCTGCTTGGTGTCAGACGCCGTTCCATGAACGAAAGCCTGCAAAAGGTGCCGAGAAGTTCCCAGTGCACGGACGCTGGCCGCCGACGGCAACAAGTCTACGAAGAAGATCACTTCCGACTTGCCCAGTTGGAAACAGCAATGCTGTCTGGTGAACTCTTCTGGAGCGCTACCAACAGATAGGAGCTTTGCACCCGCACGACATTGAGGTCCTGATCTTCTTTCCTGGAGCAACTTGCTGCTCACAGCTGCATGCTGAGAAGCACAGGTCAAGGAAACCTCGCCATTGAGCGGTTGCAAGAGGTAGGACTCGGGAGGCACGAATATCACCGCAGCATGCTCTGTTTTGACCGAGGCGTGGGTGCCATCGGCCACATGGGCAAACTTTAGGGATGAGCCCAAAATGGTACAAGGCAGCTCCAGAGCTAGAGTGTGACTTTCACTCGCACCGTCAAACACACGAAGTCGAACTTTGCCATCTGCACGGACAGGGGGATCGTCTTCCTCGTCAACTCCATTGCCGTCGGCCTGTTGTTGACGGCCTTGGCCTAAAAGAGATCTTGGCAGCTTTGCAGACCAAGGCAGCTTGGGCAAGCGCAAGGCTTCCAAGCTCTGACCTGATCGCATGGCCACCCGGAAATCAGCCTCTGAACTCTTCAGGGCTTCAGCGCCTGTTCGAATGCTGTCCTCGATCGCGACTTTGGGAGTGCCGACACTTGTAGCGTCGTCCGGGGATTGGACTGCTTGGACACGCGCTGGCCCCTCAACCGTTTTCTGTGATGGGCCTCGAGGCAGGGCGGCCGCAGGCAAGCTATGGATCTTAGGAGTTGCAGCTTCGGTGGTTGCGGAGGCCTCGGTCCTTAGATCTCGAGCAAGAGCAAGAACAATAAAGAGAGGCGCGCCTAGTCTTGCCATCTAGAGGCTCCGCCGGTCTCGGCCGCGAATGGGCCTCGCCTCTCTCGAAAGAACTCCTGATCTCCTGGCAAAGGCCCGGCAAAGGCTTGCAAAAGGCCGTCTTGAAACATTGAAGCGACGGCTGCGTCGCGATGCCGGTGCCAGCCTCGTCTGTTTGCTTCGGCTTGATGTGAGCCTGAACGAATTTCTGCCAGTCCCAAACAGCCCCAAGCACTTTCAAGCTGCTTTTGTCACACCTACCTTCCACCAAGCGGTGCTCTTCCAGACTCCACGCGGTTCCGAAGGCTCATGGTCAGGTGGCCGCGCCTTCGCTACGCAAACCACGGGCACGCACGCAAGCAGGCATCATCGCATCTTTCAGGTGCAGCAACATGCAGAAATCGTGAGAATGAAGAGACAACATAAAGATCTCACCGAAGGCCGGAGAGAGAGAGAGAAAGAGAGAGGGACAGAGCGCGACAGACACACAGAGAGCGGGAAAGAGAGAAGGGCAGGGAGAGATTGATGTAGAGAGACAGGGTACATATAGCATCATACAGCCAGAGATGATGAACCATCAACCGTGACCCACACTCGGCCTTCCTCCTTCTAGAATTACTTATGCTGGCCGCACCTGCGGCTTGTCTCGAAATAAGCTTTTGCGACCTGTGCAAAAAAAGATGGAATGGCCCATGTTGCAGGGGCGCTGGTCACCTGTTGGCAGGCCAGGACCAAGCTATACTTTTTGCTATGCGTTGAATTGGGAAGGAATTCGAGATGCTGAACTGTGCACCTTCATGCAGGGATGTGCTGGGCCGAGTGCGGCAGAAATGCTAGGAAAGCGGCTGAGCCCCTGATATCCCTTCGCTCCAGCGCCAGGCTTCACAAACTGGGCAAGCAGTGCTTACTGCCACCCCCATACAACACAAGCCAACACGGCACCCGCCTCATCTGGAGGGCAGGGGGGAGGGGAGGGTAGGTACCAGTAGACCAGTAGATGCAGAGAGAGAGAGAGAGAAGAGAGAAGAAAGAGATACAGTGATCCAGCGAAATGCCCGGCCTCAGGCTTGCACATAGGCAGCGCACTCAGTGGCAGAGATCCTGCTTCTCCTGTGTAAAGTGTGATACGCATCAGGATTGCCGGATTTGCTCCTACTCGTACTGTCTGCAGTATAGTATCGAGACATGCTTGGGCCCAGCTCCTTCCCAAATTCCGCTCAGTGGTAAATGCTCGGGGCTCTGCTTGCTGGCGGCTTCCTGTTTATGTGGTCTCAAACGACGGTCAGTCGCAGGAGAGACGCAGTCTGCCTCGTCCATGTGGTGTTCGAGGCCCTTGTCCATCTCTGTCTGTCCTGGGATGCCCTGTGGCTCTGTCTCCTGGCAGCCATTGCCACCTTCGTGACTGTCCGCAGGCGCCGGCGTGGGGTCTGGATCTGCCGTCTGTGGCTCCTAGCAATGTTTCCGTGCAGCATGCAAGTGGACCGAGCACTCTGAGCTTCGTGCTGCTTGGAGAATGTGCGCGACAGATCCATGGACCTCAACTCCGCACGCAATGCTTTCAAATCTCTCTCCCTACAATCCTGACAGGTGGCCGCTCGCATAGCTTTGGCTGCGAGCTCCTCGGTAATCAATGGCAGCAAATCACAGTCTCATTCTCATCTACATGCTCGGTCTGCAGTCTGAACGCTGCGGCTGATCAAAACACAAGCTCTTCGGAAACAGCTTGCCCGCAGAACTTTGCGTAGACATATCGTAAATCATTGCACGAACTGCTCCCAAAGCTATGTAGTCTCACAGGGTGATGTTTTGATGTGATATTTGGCAATGCCCCGCGGATCCAGACCCAGAGGCCCATAGGCCTAGGCTTCCAAACTCTTGCCACGCCCCTTAAGCCTCGAGGGCTCAGTTCCCCGGAACCTCTCAGCCAATTCATGAGCCAAGCTGCATGATGCCGCGGTATGCCTGCGACGGTGGCAGCATTTTCGTAGATGACCAGGTGAGTGCACGTGAACACATGGACCTACACATGCACACGAAGACACGCCATTATGTGACATTATTTACGAAAACTCTTCGGGCTGCTCTGGGTATGGTCGCCAGATTTTTTGGGTATTCTTTATCGGGGCGACTGGGTATGCCTTATCTGAAACTGTAGTATTTGTGCAAAGTGACCTGTATATGAAGGAGACCTCATGTATTGCATTCGTTGCGCTTAAGCATCTTGACTGGCTTCAATGGTTTTCGATCGGGTTCCGACAATTAAAGGTTTTGGTAAGGTTCCGGCAACTAAGGGATCCAATGACACCTGCCTCTGCTGCTGTTGTAACATAATCCCATAAGCCACATCTAGAAACCCACCACATTAATGCCTTGAAAACCTGTCTATTGTGATTTTGATGCCGCTTCCTTCTCACCTCTCCCCCTTGCAGTTTTGCCGGCAAGCCGTTCTTTACAGACAGGCTTGGCAGACATGCACGCATGTCACGGCATGCGATGCAAAGACAGGCTCCACAACGCTACATGCTTACCACCGCACTCGACACGGTATCCGTTGACCTGCCCCCCCTAGGTCTTTCACTTTTTGCTTTGTTGCTACGAGGTCTTCCTTGTTTCTTCGGGCCAATGCCTCTCCCTCCGGAGTTTGTCATGTACTAGACCGCGTGCACATGCTTCCTGACATGTGGTGTGCACATGAGCCTGGAGGAAACAGCTTTTTATGAAAGGTCGATTGGGACTGTAGTTCAATGCAACGTAGAGATACTCAACATCGCACAACTTCAAAGCAATATTATGTATCTTGCACATGCCGTGGCATCACTGGCGCTAAGCTAATGAATCGAACGCTGCAGACACGCGAGCTTCGGGCAGCGGGCGTCCAGCGCTTAATTGAAGGTTTAGGACGGGCTTAGGTGTGTGAGTGAGGGGCTTAAAACTGTGATCAAAGTTTCTGACAACTACTGCGTTAAGCAGATCACAAAGGAGCCTTCACAAAAGCTTAATGGCCTTATGGAAAGGCATAATCATAATCATATCGACGTGTCACCACATGTTCAATGTTTCTCTCGCCCAGCGCCTTCCTCACATACATCCACGGCTATGCATGCCCTCATAGACAGAAAGGCAGAAAGGGGACAACGCCAGACAAAGCTACACCATGCCGCTTCTTTCTCACCTCAGCTCCCTGCAGTTTTGCCAGCCAGCCGTTCTTCCGAGACGGGCTGGCATCTTGCTCGATTGCTTGCTTGCTCGCTCCCTCGCTTGCTTGCTTAACCCAAGCCGGAAACAAATACAAATGCCCAACCGCCCCGAGAAAAGAATGCCCAAATAATCCCACCACCGTCGGCAACATAGGTGCTTGCAGCTAATGCAGACAAGCTTTTTCGGACTCCAAGCAACAAGTCAAAGCACATCCAAGGCACAAACACAATTGCTAAGGCTGATTCTTTCTAAGCGTTCCCAGGGCCAACAGCCGCACGGGAAAGGTTTTGGGATGTGGAGGGTGTCCAAAACGTTCAACCCTGCACAAACTGACGTCTAGCGTCGCACATGCACATTTGAGTCGATGTACGTCTCTCAAGTTATACTGTCACAGAAAAAAGCCCACCCACCATCACCCACCTACCCATTCAAACGCCGCGAAACCCTACCCCTTACAGCCGGCAAGCACACACTTTTTGCTGTGGGATGCGCAGCCAAATCCGTCCGGCCTACCCGAGCCTGAAAGAAATCAACTTCCAGGAGGCGAATGGGGCGGCGGTGGGCTCAACTACAAGCTAGCCTACAGGCAAACCGTTTGCTACCCAGCTGACAACTCCTGCCTCGAGCAGCAAACTTTACAGTAACAAAATTAGCAACACTAACACGTGAGGCATGCGTCGCTACGGTCCGCAAGCCACAACCTGTTCCGACATAACACCGAAACGCTTAACGTGCAATCGTTCCGCCTGCACAATCCGCACCTCTCAAGTTATACTCTCACAGAAAAGCCCATCCACCATCACCCACCTACCCTTTCAAATGCCGTGAAACCCTACCCCTTACAGCCGGCAAGCACACACTTTTGCTGTGGAGTGTGCAGCCAAATCCGTCCAGCCTACCCAAGCCTGAGAAGAATCAACTTTCCAACCGAAGGAATTTCAGGCGAGTGTTCTCTGCCGACGGTTCCTTTCCTGTCTAAAATTAAAAGCCTCACAAATCTCCTAGACGTGCAAGCCGCAGGCAACCTGCCGACTCCTTTCTTCACAGACACCCTGAGCTGCGAAGACGCTGCACATGCGGCACTGCAAGCCCCTTCCGAGTGCACGCAGTGCCCTAAGCGCGCGAGGGAACATCTTCCCAATCGAAGGAACTCGCTGCCCTGGACACGCAAACCCCTCTCAAGGCAGCACACGCTCACCAAAGGTCTGCATGCGAATTTCGCTGTTCAGCTGCATCGCTGCATCCATCAACCTGGGCAAAACACGGAAATCAAGCTTGGGGACGTCTACACTGATGCGCAGGCGCGGGTCGAAGTCACCGAACTGCTTGTTTGTCAGTGCGTCCGCAAGGACGTTCTGCTCTCCCCCCATGACGGGGACAATTTAAGACCGACCCCAGTGCATCCAGCTGTACCGCCAGCTCCATCAAGATGATCGACAGCGGGAAAGCCGTTGCCATCATCTTGTCCACCACTGCCGGCATTGTCCGTAAAGCCAGCAATGACCGCTGTCGTGGTGCTCTCGCGCCACACTGCTCCAGGCCCGAAAACACAAACAGCGACCAGTGTAGCAACGAGCTCCAGAGCTCCAATGGCACGCCTTTGACGTACGCCCACGGCGCCGACTTCTTGTCCAGCCTAACGGAGAACCATCGTGCTTGCTGAGTGTCACCAACTCAGATGAATTCTGAAAACGTCCTGCACATGCGACAAAGACTTCGGGGCGGTCATTGGCGCACGCTCGACTTCCTTCTTCATGAACTCCAGCAACAAGCAAATTGACAAAGGCTGTGTGGCGACAAGTCCCGGTGGCAGTTCTGTGGCAGTTGAGCCACCCCGCTGGTAGCCAATCCAGCCTAACGACGTACCCCCAGCAACTGTCTTCCAGGACAAAGGGATCTCGAGAAGCTCGAGGACATAAGCCAGAAGAGCATGCGCAATCAAAAGCCCTGCCCCGACGCAAGCAACAGTCCGTCGTGGCAGCCAACTCGCACAGATAGTGCGCCAAGTTGACAGCCACGGCTGCGAGCCGCTGCCAATAATAAGCGGCCGATGCAAAGCCGAAGGCCCGACAGTGTGCATGTAGATCACCTCCGGGTCATCAAGACAAAGCGCTTGGTACTTCCAATCTTCCTCTCTTATCGGGACCAAGCTGTGCACTCTGCTGACGTCATACTTAAGGCCAAACCTGACAGCTGGCTTACGCTTGCAATGATCATCGGGGAGCGAAGCCTGTCTCGAACGCGAATGCGAGGGTTCACCTCCACATGGTGTGTGGCGTCATGGATTATGCGGACAACCGACGATCCTGCCTTCTTCGGAATAGCTCCAAGCGCCGCAACAGCCAGGTGACCACCAAACTTCTGCAAGGCCTCCTCTTTCGAAAAGGCCACCACGGATGCGCATTGCAGACCCTCCTCCACCTGCCGACGTATGTCGTCCATGTTTGCTGTTGCCGAGCTGTAATTCTCACAGAGTGGAGGCTCACAGGTAGATTCCAGCTCGTCTTCTCCTCGCGAAGACCGCCGGCGTCCGGGGCATCAGCACATCCACTCCCAGCGTGCACCCGCACTGGCAAACTCGCGCAGGAACTCGTAGTCCGGGTCCTCCGCCACCTCCAGCATCGCGGCCAGCCGACGGAAGTTCGCTTCAGTCCTGCGATCGCCAGTACAACGCTCCGGCTTCATGCCACAACCACGCAAGACTTCATCCGCCTCCTGCCTGGCTTGCACTAGATGCCGCTCATCAAAAGGCGACGAAGAACATCTGCCGGCAGCGATCTGCCATCATGTTCTCTGCACGCCAGCAACCGACGCCTTCGAGTCCGCCAGCTTGACCCAGTCCAGGAACCAGCACCGCAGACATTGCCTGACTCGGGCGAAGCCATCTGACTGAGGGAAACGCCGGGACGAAATCGGCCAGCTCCCCGGCGAGCACAGACCACCGCCAACTACTAGCCTGCAGGCAAACAGTTTGCTGCTCAGCTGACAACTCCTGCCTCGAGCAGCAAACTCTACAGTAACAAAAGTAGCAACACTAACACGCGAGGCATGCGTCGCTTCGCTCCGCCAGCCACAACCTGTGCCTGCATAACACTGAGACGCCTAAAGTGCAATCGCTCCGATCGCTCCTGACAACGGAGAAAGCGAAGCGGATCTGCAATGGCTCTTTTCTCGAGTCGCTAAAGGTCAGTAGCTGTAAACTCAAGAGGGCCCCCTATGGAGCCGAACGGCCGCGAAGCGTGGAAAACGTCAACACAGCTGACTGCCACAAAGGCATTTCTCAGCTCCTCAAAGTTTCTTTGACCTTTTCGTTCATCTCGGCTTCACGGTGCCTGTCTGCCGCCTATACAAGCGATCTTTCATCAGATCGTCCTCGGCTTCCAGGCGAAAAGTGCCGCTCTCTATCAGCTGAACCAACGTATCTCGGTTGGCCCCCAGCTTCGTCAAGGAGTCCACCGGCATACTCTGGTGCTCTACCCACCTCAGTTGAACTCCTAGGCCCTCTATCTTCTCCCTGGCAATCGTCACGTCCAAGGCGGTGAACTTGTCCTGGGCCTGAGCGCCCGTCTTCATCAAGTTATCGTATAAACTCTTTGCGTCCACCACTGAAAGCGACTCCTTCAGAACTTCGTCGGCATTGCTCTTTTGCAAGACTATGTCTGCCTTAGCCTGGACACTGTCGCGAAAGCCCGCCAAGGAGAAGTTAGGGTCCAGCATCTCTCGCCAAGCCCCTTCAGAAGCGCAGAAGCGATTGGGCCTCTGCGGCTAGCGTCGATCCCACCTTTCTTTTCAACTTCGAAGACTTCCACCACACCAGTGAGCAGGCCGCCCGCTCACCGTTCAGGATGGCCTTGTCAAAAGCCACCACCGCCAAAGCGCCCTGCACGCACCGTCGCTGTGGTTAGCCCAAGAAGCGTCCGTGATAGTGCCCCGGCCCAGGTGGGAAAGTGGAATCGGGAAGAACTTTAAGGTGAGGTCGCGGGTCTGCTTGGCGACCTGGATGGCCTTGTTGATCTCGGTCAGGTCCTTCACCTTTAAGTCTCCCATCCTCGCAGCCAGCATGCTGGCTGCTCCGGCCAGGTCTGGCCGACCCTCTTTCGCCAGCCAAGCTAGCGAACCTGTGGCTCCACGGGCCTTTTGCCGCTCCTCCTCGGTAGCCGGGGCGTCTGGCTCTGAACGCCTCCCCCGGGCAAGGCACATAGGAGCGCCTTGAGCAAGGCGCTCCTCCACGAACTTCGCCATGTCGATTTTTATGACAAAGTCCTTAGTTTCCTCCGCCCGTTGAACATGGTGCCCTCCTCGAGGTCCTGGAGCATCTTGAACTTGCCGGACTGAAAGCGCTCGCGTAGTGCCTGAAGTTTGGCATTGTGGATGGTCCCGCCGAAGGTCAACATGTCGTCGACCTCGATGACAATCACTCCTTCCAAACGGCTTTCCTCTGGGCCCACTTGCTTCATCTCTTGCTCGGTCTTGTACAGCAGGAAAATAGTGGCGTCTAAGCGCGACTGCCTGCACCCCAACTGTTCCACCAGGAAGGCTTTGAGTGTAGCCCGCCAGTGGGCCGGCCTGTCCACCAAACCGTAGATTCCCCGGACTATTTCGATCAACTGGTCCTCGGTGGCATTCGGCAGGTGGCTGCGGCGTGGCTGCCGCACGTTGAGCTTGCCGGCCGCCCGCACGAGCGGGTCGCTGTGTGTAAAGGCCACCTTGAGGTCCCCACAAGCACCTGGTGGGCGAAGCGTGCTGACCAACTGGAGCAGCACCTGAGTGCTTAGTGTAGGAGCGCAGGCCTCGATCTCCGCCGAGTCGGGGTCTCGGTCGCCCGCACCAGATTTGAAACTGGGTGCTTCGCCCAGCTGTTCCCCTGGTTTCCTCCGGCGCACGATGCGGGAGTCGATGATGCGGTCCCCTTTGCCTTGCGCCTCTGCGCGTACTTCTGCTGACTCCTCTGGGGTCAGAAGCCGGACCGCGCCTGAAGCCAGTATCCGCCTTCTCCCATAACGGCCACTCGCTCTCCTGGATGTCTTTCTCCCGCTTGCCACCTTCTTTGCGAGGAAGGTGTCGGTCCACACTTCGAACACGCCTTGGTCGCCGTGCTCCTGGATCTTCTCTTGTGCCGCAAACACTTTCTTGAGCTCCTTCTTGGCCGCTTCGGTCAGGTAGAAGTCGGTGTATCCCCGCCACTTTGCGGGTGCCCGTTTGGCTGGCCTTAGGTCTCGCCAGGTCTTTGGAACTGCTTCAGCTCCACCGGAATTCGCGAGCCTTCCCAAGGAGAGAAGCTCGCGGTCCTCCACTTGACATGGTGTCTCCTCAGCCGCCCCTTGCTGAGCAGCAGTTCCCAATGATCCCGCTGCGGTGCTCTTTGTCCACTTCCCGGGCTCGCGACCGCAATCTCCTCCAGCGTCTGCTCAAAGAAGTCGTGCTGATCTTGCCCGGCAATCACATAGTACGGCCTCTCTGGCCTTGGGTCCTTGGGTCCTCCTCTCTTGCTCTGTCGAGGAGGTCGCGCGCACCGCCTAGCCGGCGTTCTCAGCTGCGGCCGGGGGCGGTCTCGCCAAAGCCGGCGCAGCCCTCGGTTCCGCCTCCACTTCACCATGGGGCGGCGCTTTGGCATCAGGTGGTAGAGGCTCCTGGTCAGGTCGGTCACGACCCTGCTCTCCCGGGCCGGAGAGCTCAAAACGGCCCCGCATATCCCGGAACACGTCGTTGACTGCCTTGATGCCGCGTAGCTCCTCCGAAGTTCCGTCCCAGCAGCGCAGCGTCCACCATCCCGTCGGAGAGCAACTCTCCCGTAGTCTTTGGATTTTCCCCAGCATCTCTGGGCCGGGGAAAAGCCAGATCTGTCTGAGAGCCGGTTCTTGGCCGACTCCGTTTCCCGCAGCAGCAGCTTGAACTCGTCACCGTCCGTCGGCGGGCAGGACCACATAGCTTTCTGAAGAAGCGCCCGAAAAAGTCCGCCGTGCCGCTCGCAGCGGTCGTTCTGGTGAGGCGCTCTCGCGCCTATGGTGTGCATCAGGACGCCCAGCTGGTGACAACGGTCCCGGCACTCTGCTAGGAACTCCGTGCCCTGGTCCACCAGGATCATCTGCGGCATCCCAAACACACGGGCCCAGCTCTTCAAGAAAGCTTGCCAGACCGTAATCGGGGTCTTCGCCCGGACCTTTTCGACCATCTGAAAATTGGAACCCAGGCAGGTCATGTTGAGGTACTTCTCGGTCCCATGGCCGTCCCAGGTCGGCAGGTCGAATGCCACCACCACATTGGGAGCGTAGTTCCTTGGCACTGCGGCAGGGCGAGCAGCTTTAGGCATAACCCCTGCGTCGCACACTGGACAGTGAAAGTGCTTGCCGGCCCACCGCCAAAGATGGCGGTGAACCTCCCAACCGCAAGGTGCGTGCCAAGGTCGCCCTGTCGGGGTGCCCCAAGTTGCGATGTAGCTTGGCAATGGCTTCCTTCTCCTTCTGGTTCGGTTCCCGGACCGGCGGCTCCTCGGCTTCCTCCGCTTCTTCCATGTCGGGCACCGTGCTCCAGGTTGTCCAAGTCGATCGGGTACGCGTCGACGTGGTAGGCCTTCCTCACGCGAAAGCCAAGTTGTTTCGCTTGGCGAGCCGGAAGCGCTCCTTCTCCGTCGTGTTGGTGGCCAGGCCCTTGGTGCGGTAGGAGGAACGCCGCCGGAGGTCGAAAGGAGGCTCTTCTTAAGCTCCTTCCAGGCCAATAAACGGCATGCGTGCTCCATCTGATGTTTGTTGCCGGCCAGCCGTATCGTCAACTGGGCTGGCCGCTCCCGGGCCCAAGTCGCCCACTCTTCGGCCCTCTCCTGCGAGCTGGCTGCCGCGTTGAGCTCCTTCACAATGGCCGGCTCCGTGGCGCTCTCCTGAGGAGTGTCGAGGTGGTGGCCGAGAGCCTCTAGGTAGTTCGCGCCATCCTCGCCGGTGTGGTCGCCGATCGGTCTCCTTCAGCACCAGGAAGACCTCTTGGCCGCTCAAAACCACGGTCCGTCTTGATCACGGCGAAGTCCGGCCGGTGAAGCCCGCCATCTCTGCACTGCTGCGGCCGAGGCCGCCTTGAGCACCTTGGTCCCGCACTCCGACCGCAGCTCCCGGTCTAGCCCCTCAGCAGCAGCTTCGCGATCTGGGACCTTTGCTGCAGCAGGTTCTGGTAGAGGCCACGATCTGGTGCGCTGCCGCCTGGAACTGATCCGCCGACTGGGCCCACTCCAGTCGCGTCTCCCTCGTCGGAAAATGCTTGCTTCGCGGAATCGCGGACGGCATCCATCGCCTCCTTCTGCGTCCCGCCTCCATCTAAGGGGCGCCGCTTTCTCTGCCAGCTGAAAGTCCAGCGTCTGGCCAGTGAGGAGATCCACTTGGTCGACGTCCTCCTTCTGACGCGTGATCACCTTCAGGTACTCCTTCTTCGTGGGTGTCACCGTCGGCGTCGGCATTGGCCCTTCCGAGCGGCTCGCCGGAGGAGCCCGCGTCTTTGGTTTGGCCTGGACGGTCGTCTCCTGCAAAGGCCTCTTGATGACCCTCGCCGCGGATCTCGGTGACACCTCGAGTGGCACTGGCTGCAGTGGAACCAGTTCATGTGGCCGTTCCCGCCGCCCTTCAAGAACCGCGCCTGGTGGGTGCAATCCTCCACGGAGACTGCCTGCACCGCCGAGAGCTTCTCCGGGTTCTTCTCGTGAAGGTACTCGTGGTAGAAGGCCGACTTGTTGGTGGGCCCTACGGTCTCCTCCTTCTCGGCATAGCCCCTAGCCAGCGCCGGCGAAGGGGACGGCACACTGCGCAGCCAAGTCGAGGCTGGGGTATGATAGTGACCCCAGCGCACCAAGCAATAGAGCTTGTCCAAGAGTACCCGCCAGTTTCGCACGGCCAGCCTGTGACGATTTACCACTCGCCTTCCGGACCCTGACGACGGTTGGGTCTTTCTGGTCTCTTCCAGCAGGGCGAGCGACGCCAGCATGGCCAAACAGGTTGCAAAGCGATGGGGCACACATGTGGTTCGGCTTGAACCCCAGCTTCGGCACAGCCCGGGCATTGATTCGAAAGTCGGCTTCTGAGCGAACTCCTGTACATGCTGTAGGAAACTGCCACTCCTGCGCACCAAAGTCGACGACTGACAACAGCAGGGTGACCACTGGGCAACTCTATCATAGGGGCTTCTGCCGAACACTTGGTAAAGGAGAGCACTTCCCGCTGAAATTCCACGACGGCCCCAAGAGAGCGAAGAAGCGAAACGGGAAGAAGTAGTGGAACGTCCTCCACCACCACGGTGGCTTCCAACACTCCACTCACGCCCGCGACACCCACCGGAAGCTCGACCACCCCGATCGTTTTAGCTGAGCCCCCTATGCCTCGAGCAGAGGACACCTTATCCAGCCACAAGCACCGAAGGCCGAGCCAACGGAGAACTTCACAAAGTCGAAGCAAAGCTGGCTTCCCGATCAACCCGGCTTGCGCTGCAGTGTCTACTATGGCTTGGTGCTCCGGCGTGACAACTCCTATGAACGGGCTTGGGTCGAACTGCTTCTTTTCCTTCTGGCCGCCCTGATCGTAGGTAACAAAGGCCACGCGCTCGCCCTTTGTCGACTCGGCGCTCACATAAAAGCTTCCTGAGGAACTCGAAGCCGTTTGGCTGGGAGTCGTGCTAGAAGCTGGGCGATTTCGGCACACTTTGCTCCAATGCCCTATCTGTCCACATGCGTTGCACCGCGTCCTCAGCTTCAGCTGCTCTATGTGGATCTTCCTCTGCTCCCGGTCCGCTCCTTTGCCCGCTCCTGGCCCAGAGCCTTTCTTGGACTTCCCAAAGGGCTGGCTGCCCTTCTTGCCGCCGCCTTTCCCGGAAGTCGGCGGGAAGGGCTTGTAGAACTTCCTCCCCAGCCGGGTGTCCTTCAGGTGCTGGCGCACTTGCTGGTATGTCGCCAGCGCTTCCAGCACTTCGTCTTCCTCGTAGATATCGTCCAGCTCGCCGTCCTGAAGGTTCACGTAGTCGCCGTCGTCCTCCTCCGAAGCCTCCTCGTAATAGACGCCCGGGTCCTCCTGGCCGTAGGGCTCGACCTGGGCCTCCTCATCGTCCCCGGCCGTTGCCGTCAAGAAGGTGCTCGTGGTGCACCCGCTCCAGCCTCCGGTCACCACGTCCAGGGAGTTGACTCCAGCTCTGGGCCAAGGTTCGCCTGACGGCAAAGTAGGGAGCCCGCCGCCTTCGAGGGCAAGGTCACCCCCTCGTCGTTCAAGACCGCCTGGGTGCGCTGGGCTCGCACAATGAACTCGGCGATGGACTCCTTGTGCCCACGCCGGGCTCCGAAGAACACTGCCTCCATCGCCCGGTCTCCACATACGGCTCAAACGCGCTCTTCAAGGCCTTGACCACCTCTTTGTAGCCGCCCGTGTCCTTGATCTTGTCCACCGGAAGCACGTCGACTGCCGCCTTGGCCGGGCCCTTCAAGACCTGGACTAGCTTCAGCCCTTGCTTCTCCTCCGGAACGTCCGTGCGCGCCTGCCACAGCTCCAAGTCACGAAGGTAGGCTTTGAAAGTAGTTTGGGAGATTCCCCGGAGTAGCCCGGCGGGGGATCCTTATCACGATAGGTCCAGCCACCGCCGTCACGTCCGGTTTGCTCAGCCATCTAGCTTGGCTCCGTACCTAACGTCCTGGATCGTGTAAAGGCTCGCGAGGGCGTCCGTGTAAAAGCCGGCGAGGTCAGTGAGCTGTAAACTCAAGAGGGCCCCCTATGGAGCCGAACGGCCGCGAAGCGTGGAAAAGGTCAACACAGCTGACTGCCACAAAAGCATTTCTCACTCCGCACAATCCACATTCGCCTACGGTGCCTCCCGGGCACTTGCAGTGTCTCCCCTGCGAGGACACCGATATAGCAACCATCAGCAGCATGAGTGCAAAATCAAACATATCAACACTGCGCTCTTTCGGCTGCCATCACAGGATGTCATACATGGGCCTATGCGGGATGCCGTGGACGGCTAGCGGGCTAGATCAGGTTTGGACTTGGATTGACCTCTCTCTCAGTGCAACCCTGGCTGGGCCAAAGTCCCTGCAACAAGTAGCGAGCAAAGTGATGTTGAAGTCGTATTTCCCTATGCAAAAGAGCACCCTTTTGCAAGATGTGGTGTCTTAGCCAGCTGCATCAAAAACACGTTCATCGTTCTGCCGTTGTGGCCGCTACAGCAAGCAAGCCAAGTGAGCATGCCGTTGCTTTGTCCGGCCTTCGAAAGGCCACTCCTGAGTGCCGCGGTCAACTGAGTCAAGGCTGGCGGGGTCCACCTGCACGTCTGTCGCAACCTGTCTTGAACAAGATGTTTGCAAGAAGTCGCCAAGCCTCATCCTCTGCCTGCTGATGGTTGCACCTGCCACTTCTGGAAAGGCCCAAACAAAAAGACGACGGACAACAACCAAAGGGTGCCTGTCAGAAGCTTGGTGTGGATCCGCAGACTCTTCACTACATTGTGCCGGAGGTGGAGGGGGTGGAGCTGGCGGAGCAGCCGGCGGAGCAGCTGGCGGAGCAGCTGGCGGAGCAGCTGGCGGAGCAGCTGGCGGAGCTGGTGGTGGCCGAAGGATCGCCGCGGCTTCCTGCAGCTGACGACCTTGCGAAAAGGGCCAGGACCCGAGCACTTGAAAAGCAACTTTTGAATCGCCTCCACCTCCATGTCGGAAGACATTGAGCCGTTCGCCTTTGCCTGCAAGAAGGGAAGGCGCCTAGCTGCGGATCTTCGAAAGCGTCTGCATGCAACTGGGCCTTTGCCGAAATGGCCCCTCTTACCATCCCCGCGCTCCCGCTTCGTTTCCTGTGGACTGTCAAGTTCAGCTTGTAGGTATGTCCACAACATGTTTCGCTCATCCAGATCGACGTTGGGGTCGCAGGGGTGCGAGAGCAGCTCCAGATGCTGAATCTGCTCAGATATCTGATGCAAGCTGGACAACCAGTGCTGCAAGTCGGCACTTCGACTGGAGGCTTGTGCCTGGGACTCCTGGGACTCCTGGGACAGCTGGGGCTGGCACGTAGCACTTGCGTTGCGCTCGTGGCGTGTTGACTCTTGCCTTTGCAGCTCCATCTCCAGCTCGAGCTGCTGCAACATTTGCTGGCACAGCTGCTGTTGTTGAGACATATGCAGTTCACGTTGCAATTGCTCCTGCAGCTCTTGGCATTGCTGACTCCCAGGCTCGCTTGCGTTGACGCGCTCCAGTTCTTGCAGGAGCTCCAGTCCGCTGATCCTCTGCTCAGTTCCATGCGTCTCCATTGCTTCACGCCGTTGCAATATAGCTGCGAGCTCTTGCTGAAGCTGATGCTTCTGGTGCTCGAATTCCTGCTGCTGTCGGTCGAAGTCTGGGACACTCTTGCCCGACGAGTCAGGCTCCCCAGGCTCAGGCTGTATGGGCGATGCAGGACTTCCCCCTTCGTTTGATATTGGCATTGGCTCCCCATTCCGGACTTCCATGACTTCCTGGTCAGCCTGCAGCCTTCTCAGCAAATGCGCTGGAGGTGGGGTGGACGGTGGCTTTGGGCCATGCTTCGCCTTCACATTGTCAGAAACCATCTCGAAAACCTGCTTCACAAGCTGCTGCAGCATTTCTACCGCGTGCCTAGCAACACGCACCTGCGGCGCTGCCATGAACGGCATCACCTTCTCGGGCTTCCAGTCGCCGTACAGCAGCTTCCAAAGAAGTGACAGCCCTTCCAATTGTCGTTGTCTCTCTTGCTTCGCCCACTGGCCAATTGAAGCCAGTGTCTGGATGTCCGATTCAGTTTGAAGTGCCGAACCCTCCTGGCATCGCTGCCGCACGGCTCCCAATGCCTGGTCAAGCAGCGCGCGCAGCTGGTCCTGCCATGCCTGGAGTATCTCAAGGTGTTGAAGGACGCGGCCCGTCTCCTCAAGAAGTGTTTCACGGTGCGTGCTTCGAAGCTGCCGAGTGTAGGCTCCATACCACGGAGGCCATGGCTTGCTTGGTTTGGTGGTGCCAGCATTTCGGCCCATAGTTCCATGGCGGCAGTAGGCATTGCCGCTGTAAGTCTCCAGCAAATGAGGAAGGCTGTTTCATCTAAACAGTCTGAGCGACCTTCAGGCCCTTTAGTAACCCTTCAAGACTTCAAGACTCTTGACACCTGGACGGATGATGAGCTGCTTACACCGGCATCGTCCGTAAAGAGTCCCTACGTACATCATCTTGGCTTGGCTAGGCAGTCTTGGGAATGTCTGTACCGCACTTGAATCCGGCTCTCATCACGACGGCAGCAAACCGCCTACTCCGAGAACACACTTGAGAACACTGACTGTGCAGGCCCCCGAAAACCTCAGCGTTTAAGCTGGAGGCCAATTCCGAAGAGGATGGCACCGGACATGAACAACCTAGATGATGTGCTGACGGTTCTGCATGGTCGAGTTGCCAAGCTCCCAGGCCCCAACACGAGGTTTCGCATTCCAAAGAATTCGCCAGCAACCCTGCCAAGTTGTTCGGCTCTCAGTGGCTCAATGCTTTTCGTGCTACCACGACACAAACTCCAAAAGAAGCAGGCAACACACGAGGAGGTCTTCTTGCATCCTCAAGGGACTGTGTTCGGCCATGCGCTGCAACAGTCAGTCAGGTAACCCTTAGGTGCTGGCATGGCCAGGCACCTTGGAGCAGCACTCTAGGTCAAGAACTATGGAGGCTGCATTTGCGGAGTACCTGCTGAGGTCCACATCTTCCTGGTCGAGTGTGCCTGGTCTCCTGAGCTGACGCCGAAGTGCCGCCATGATTGAACATGAGATGATGTGAGCGGCGGGCGCGAGGATTACAGCACCTTTCTCAACTGGCTTGCCGGACAAGGTGGTCAGGGCCTGTTAGTGGACGACAGCCAAGACGAATAGCACTGGAGAAGGAAGCGAGGCCCCAACGTAGTCATCCCGCATGTGTCGACCAAGGTCCAACAGAATCAACCTGGTCAGATTCTGTCCTCAAAACATGAGCTCCGAAAGGCTGAACAGCTCGGTGTGAACTTGGATTCTTGCACGCCCACAGCGAAGGATCCCAGGCAGCCATGCCAAACCTTCAGCACTGCAATGCTTGGCAAACAGCGAACCCATACCGCAGCACAGGTTATGAGCCCCCTACTGCGCAGAGGCGCTCCAGATACCCATAAACACCTGAGACCAGCCAGTGTTTGCCGGGGCGTGAATAAGCAACAAACAGAAGAAGGCCTTGTCGGTCCGACTCTGGCACTGCACCCGTCAGCCTGCACTGCACTGCACAGCACTGCACAAGCATCCTCCACTCATCCTGGTTGCGCTTTGGACATCATACCGTGGCTGAGGCAAAAGCACTCTTGGCACGGCATGCCTCAGCTGTTGCACATGGCCTTCTGTTGCTCCTAGCCTAGCGTCCCCTTGCCTAGCTGCTGCTAGGCCAAACCTCAAACTCTTCTGTCTGCGCCGCGCCCACACTAACTGCTTCGTGATTCTAGGAAATGCTCGTCTTATTCCAGACTAGCGCAAGAGAACTGCTGCAGCGAGCCCACCATATGAAGCACCGAATGAAAGGCTAAAAGGCTCACAAATATCGAGCCATCCTAGATCACGCACCGTGAGGGGGCACGATCGTCAAGTGAGCGGCTGTGCGAAGACCAGGGTATCTTTGCCTTACCTCCTGCCAATATCAGCCAACAAGGCACCAAACGTCTCGGATGCAGATTCATCGAGCACTTGGTCTGGCAGCATGGAGACGATGTCGCACAGGCTTGCACAAGTCATAATGAAAGTGCCCTTGTGTTGTCCCTTTTGCAACTGGCTTCCAACGTCACGCCTACTTTCTCAGCTGTCTGCACATCGCAGGTCGATCATCGTAACTCGATCATCGCTGGCACAGGTATGTTATAAGTTGTGGAAGACCGGGTCTCCATGGACATAGAATGGCCCTGCTGTGCTTTGTCCGATGCCTCAAACTCCTCGATGAGCCAAGCAAGAGATCATTTATACCGAGCTCATCTTCCAGGGAGCCATACAAGCTTGGGTTCTCAATGGCTCTCTTCCTTGCCCTGTTCTTCCGACAAGTAGAACGGTTTCCAGCACATGTTTCGAAAGGCAAGACTACGAATAATCGTTGCAAGAATGGCGAAACACGGAATCTGTCGAGCGCAGGCTCAAGTGATCAAGCACCCATAGCAACACCGGCCGTCCTGCAATGTTGGCTCGCATTTCGAGGGTCTTCAGCCTGTGCGTGGGGCTATATGGCCTGTAGGCTGCGCTTCGGCACAAGGAGCTCGCCGTCCTTGTTCTGGATTTCGCTGCGAAGACACTCCCGATCGGGCCATGGCATGACATCATCGTTCAATGGTGCCGGGCTACCATTTCTCGGGACAGGACTGCTTGCGGTCACGGTGTGAAATAGGCCAAGTCTGCTGGAAAGATTGCCTCACAACCAAACTCAGGTCGGGACTGGCCCTCCTGCAGAGGTGCATATGCAAAGGCTGACTGCTGGTCATCGGCGGCCGTGCCTTGAAGCCTTCTTTTCCCAATCCGGCAGAGCCAAACATACTCTTTGGGATGCTTGGCGACACACAAACTGGCAAGATAACTGCTCGCAATACTGCTATACACAGTGGACCTGCAGAGCTACTACGTACAAACTGTGACTGCTCAATGTTTGCCCGTTACGCGTAACGTCCTGTTCAGTTTAGGCCGACGCTGCATCTGCGTGGATTCTCTTCTCCTCACCCAGACCTCAATTGCCGAGACCTTGATGCTAAGCCACAGAAGACCCCAACCACAAAATTGTATCTGAAAATCCCGCGAAGGAAATGCTAAGGCTATGCAGTGTTGAGCATCACATCTTCAAGCTCTCAATGGTCTTGCCAATGTGAGGCAGGGCCAAAAGAAGCAGCCAAACAAGAGAGGTTGAATGCGTTTGAGCCGTAGAAAAACAAGTCGGAGAAAAATGTGTGCAGGTTAGCTAGCAAGCCCCCTCCAGCACCCAAGAATCACCATCTGCAGCATCCCACATGCCCAACAACCGGTTCTTCTTGCGGAGGCTTAGCTACAACCTGCTGCTGCATGCCTCCAATTACACAAACAACATGACTGGTTCATGCAAGCAGTCAAGGCGACACCCCATGACGAACAACATGCAAGCACATAGTAGAATAATCAACCTCCGAAGCCGGTGTGCAAATCTCGCTGGACATGATTGTCAACTTTTCGCGGCATGTCGATCATTCTGTTGCGGGTGCATGCTACGACTACTTAATTCTGTCGTGGCCCAGTGAACTCGCTCATGTCAAGTAGGCCGCTTTGCCATTGTCTTGCACATACTTGAGCTGCCAAGCCTGCAAAAGCCTTTGCAGCAGCATCCTACAATTGGACTGATCACTGGACACACGCAAGACTTGGATTGCGCTGATCAAATGCAGCCTCAAGGTAGATCGCAAGAGAATTTGCGAAAAGCAACACATCCGGCTGACCGGCCAACATTCCGGGCAGTCGGTAGCTTGTATGAAGCTGCACTAGGCATGCCACGGCTTTGTACACTATACAGCCTCCTCCATATGCACTCAACACATGTCAGCTGATAACTGGCCTAGCGCATGGTTACAAAACCAGTGCCATGTCACAATGTATGTGGACGGAACAGAGCAGCTTGAGGAGGTTCCGAAACCCAGGAGGCCTTCAAGAAGACCTGACGATGCGCTGGACCTGCTTGTTTGTGCCAATTCAAAGCATTCTAGTTCTGGGGCAAAAAAGTCGCCTCAGCACCTTGCCATCGGCTGCATTGGCACAAGCAAAACAGAAGAGCAGCTCTGTGTGCTCTCCAGCAAGGAACATTGGGTTGAAAGGCGACAGGCGCCAAGGCGCAAGATGGTGCAACGTGACACCCCTGGACCAGCTTGAAATCCGCGCTCACTCTATAAATTGGAGCCAAGCGCCGGCTGGAGCCATCTGCACTGTCAGAATGCAACGAAATTGACAGAACTCTAGCAATCTCGGGTGCGCTGTACGTTGCACCGAATAACACTAAGATGTTGAGGTGGTTGAGGTGAGAAAGAAAACGAGTCAACCGGCACCATGTGGACTTACAAAGTATTGTGACATGTTCGACTAGGGACCCATCGGTCACAGCTGAAAGTCGCGAAATTTGCAAGGTCCTGAGCAGGCAAGGCGCATTGCACTTGCCAGAGAAAAGCAGTGCTAATCGCAAGGCATAGTCAGAACAGGTTCTGACTGTATGCTCAGCTCTTGCTTTCTGACCTGCTGTGACCAACTACTATTTCGACAAGGGACTAGCAAACTCATGTTGATGCCTCGGGTTGACACTTCAAGTTCGTCATTCTTCGGAGAGCCGCAACGGCCGCTGTATGTTTACGTCAATTGCTGCCGCTGCCGGCAACTATGCTGACAGATTCGGCCGTTGAGGCAGTCATGTCAGAGCGTGGGATTGTTGTATGGCACGCTGCCGGGGCCTCTGCAGGCAGCATGCACGCTGTATCACGGAACCGCGCGCAGGCTGTGGGCGTCATCCCCAGTTTCAAGTTGATGTCGTCGAAAAGCCGTGCAACTTCAGGATCCGTGATGAACTGAGAGCAGTGGCTTACCATGTCCAGAACGCCGGCACGTGAACCCTGAAAGCCATACTGAGGCAGAATTCGGCGCTGTAGGGGTAAGGCTAGTTCGGCTCGACCCCGCAAGTGGTAGTATCCTTCGCATGCCTGCTCCACATCTGCACTGCGCTTCAGGCAGGAAATCCCGTTCTGGAAGCTTGGGCTGCCTTAGTGATGAAGAGCTTTCTGAGATTCTGGCTACGAGGCAAAGCAGGGTGCAACCTCCGAGGTTCCTATCAAATGAAGCCCCGAACAGGCTGCGACCAAAGCTTAGATTCCGTCCAGGACACTGAAAGCAGCCAGCTGCTTTCGCAACAGTTTCGCAACCTCAGCCATTTTGGGACAGCCTCGAATACCATCAAACCCAACTGGTGTGTGGCCTAGGGCCTCAGGACTACGGACATCATCATTGTGCACTTCACACGTCAGTTTATTGCAAGCGAAGAAGCAGTGAAAGCCGTGGTTGGCTTCGATCCCGTTCGGCCCAGTGGCCCCTGATCCCGTGGGGCTCACGTCTCATGACACCCACGGAATGGAAGGCATGCTGAAAGTCAAAGAGGCGAGAGTTCTCTCGCTCTTCGGCACTCGCTGTCTTGAGGCTCCATCGTAGACATCAGGTTCTTCACACACACACACACACACGCGCGCAACACACACACACACACACACAAGATGATGTCCCGTGATGATGGTGGTGGTCCCTCCAAGCCCCGCCTACCAAGAAGGCTGCAGTGCATCCTAGCTGTTATGCAGTGCAGTCCCACCAATTGCTTTCTTTGAGGTTGAAGATACTCGAAGCAAGCAATTCAGTCAGTAATTATGCTGCAACCCAAGCAGGATCAGAGATCAAAGCTGAACCAAAATTGTTGTTGGAAGCTGTCCGTTTGAGCCTGACGTGAACCCTGCAGCCTCAGCCCTTTTGAACCGAGAAGCTGGAACCTCTGAATTGGAGGTGCAAACGAAGCTTGAGCTTGCCATGGAGCTTACACCCGACAGCCTGTACCTTTACTTGGTTTTGTGGAAGGCTCTGGAGATGTTGTCGGTAATCCTTCCAGCAACTCGGGTGTACGCAAGGCTAATGCTATCGATTACTGTAACGACGGCCACACGAGTTGCACGGCAACCTCTCCACCTAGCCTCGATTCCGCCGACCGTTTCCAACATGAA